TCCAGCAGGGCAGCCGCCTGGGTCGCCGCCTCTCGGGGTTCTGAGGAGGGTTTTGTGCTCTTTGCGTAGATACACGCATCCTGATGATGAAGCAGCGCATCGACCGCCTCACCCTCCTGCAGGAACGGCAGGCGGCCGCGGATCAGCTGGAGCCCAAGGAGATGGAGGAGCTCCGGGACAAGAACGAAAGGTCCGTCCCGGCTTTTTGTGAGAGGCTTCAAAGGCCTCGGGAAGCCTGGAGGTAGCAGAATCATAGAACTGGGGGGGGGACGGGGACCCTGGAGGTCTTCTAGTCCAACCCCCTGATCAGGCAGGAGAGCCCAGACCCAGGTTGGATCCTGCAGTATCATCCTGGGACACGTACATTCGCCTTCGTTTGTGAGACAATTGGCTCTCCGGTCGTTTTTTTAAAAAGCTTCCCGTGATGCAGCACCCAAAACCTCTGGAGGCAACTTCTCTTCCGCTGGATAATTGTCCTCCCTGTCAGGAAGTTTCTCCTCGGTTCCACATGGCTTCTCTCCTTGATTACTTTCCAGGCATTGCTGCTTGTCCTGCCTTGGGGTGTTCTGGAGAATAACTTAAGCCCCCTCTTCTTTGGGGCAGCCCCTCAGACCCTGGGACACGTTTATCCTGTTGCCCCTCGTCCCGCGATGGCGAACCCATGGCACGCACGCCACAGGGGGCCCACACAGAGCCCTCTCTGTGGGCCTGCGAAGCACCGCTCAGCCCGCGCACCTTCTGCCAGCCAGCTGGCCTTTGGGTCTCTGCCATGCACGACGGGGAGGCGCATGCGCGGGGGAAGTGTGCAGACTGCATTTTGGGGATGTGCGCATGCTTTGGGCTCTTGGTGCCAAAAAGTGTAGCCATCACCGCCCTCGTCCTTCCTTTCGCTAGGCCAGCCAGGCCCAGTTCCTGCCACTGTGGGTCCTATGTTTGAGCCTCCAGTCCCCTCCTCCTCCTGGTTGCTCTTCTCTGCGCTTTTTCTAGAATCTCGGCCTCTTTTTTTGTAGTGTGGTGACCAAAACCAGAGGCCTTATTCCAAGCGTGTTGGTTGGCAAATTACCAATACCAAATCACACCTCTCCCACCCCGCCATGGGTCTGCCTCCTTTTCCATCTCATGTTAATGATTTTATCTGTCCTGTTATTTTATAATCAATGGTTTTCATGTTTTTTTTAATTGTTTTTATGATGGCTTGCCCAGAATTGTTGGGTGTGAGATGGGCAGCAAGTCTATTTCATAATGAGCAAAGAAGCAAAGAAAAAAAATTTGGGGAGAGCCCTTGCAGCCAGAATAAATAAAGTAAATGAATAAATTTATTTACTCTCGGAATAAATAAAGTAAATGAATAAATGAAACTTGGGGAGAGCACCTGCGGCCAGTTCTTAGAGTGAATGAATGAATGAGCAAGCAAATAAGCAAGGAAATAAATGAATAAATTTGGGGAGAGAATGAACAAAGGCACAAAGAAGTGAATAAATAGATAAGCCAATGAATGAATGAATGCATGTGGGGAGAGCCCCCCCTCTTCCCCCCCCTCCCCAGTTGGCTCACTGAATGCTCCAGAGCCCGATGCTCCTCCTCCTGCTGCTGCCCTCCTCCTTCCTTCTGATGCTCCTTCTGCTATCCCCTCCCCCGGCAGCCTCCTCCTCCGCCTGCATGAGACGCTGAAGCAGTGCCAGGATCTGAAGACGGAGAAGGGGCAGATGGACCGGAAGATCAGCCAGCTCTCCGAGGAGAATGGGGAACTCACGTTCCGGGTACGAGGGGGGGGCAGAGCTCGGATTTTAGAATTTTGGGGGGGGGGAGGGGAGAAAGGATGAGGTCTTAGAGCAGGGGTCTCCAACCTTGGCCACTTGTGGACTTCAACTCCCAGCGCTGCTGGCTGGAGAATTCTGGGACTTTGAAGTCCACGAGTCTTAAAGCGGCCAAGGTTGGAGACCTGGCCTAGAGCCATGGGGGGGGGCTCCCCGTCGGGGTGGGGAGACGCTTAGCATTCCGTATCCTCCAGGCGGCCGAAGACCCCTTG